TAATTCTTTTCTTCAGTGGAGAGAATGATGACAGTAAGCCAGTCACCACTGCCAACATCAGAGGTGAGCTACTGAGATGCTAAAACATCAAATAGTGCATGCAGTGCCCACTAGCAGAGGCACAGAGACAGGACTTGATTAGGAGGAATCTTCTTGTAATGGATGCTTTACTTGACACTTTTGCACAGTACTTGCTAGCTAGCCAAGAGCAAACAGCACATCTCCCAAATGCTTTCTTTCATAGGTGCAGGCAACATGGCACCCATGGGGAGCTGTACGCCTCCACGCACCTTCCTTGGTGCCCACCAAGAAGCTCTGTCTTTTTCACCACATACACACAAATCCCATTTTTCTTACTGGCAATGGGCGTTTCTGTGAAATACATTTCTGCTGGTGCTGAAAACTGTGACTTCAGAGGAGACTGTTAGAATGTTAGAACTCCTCTGCCTTCTACATGGGCTTTTCAACATGTTTCTTGTCCTTTGCCGTGCCTCCCATGGCAGCTGTTGTGTGGCAGTGCTCGCAACACTTTCCCAAATTGTCAGATATTCCACATGCCCAAAAGGATGGCTGTTCCTGCTCTGTGGTCTCCTAAAACGAGGTCCCTAAATGCCACTGTGTTGCGAGGCTTGTTGCACTTACATTGGGTGCATGGTTAGACAGAAAAAAAGCTCCCAACAGCTCTCAGGTGTTGCAGCCAACTGGCAGAGCAATGTCGGGAATTGAACATTTTTTTCCTATCTGAACATATGTAGAATTGTGCCCTTGATTCAGCTGCAAAAAGTACCTCAGTTATATCCCCAGATCCTGGTGAGATTCTTCATTGATGATGATGATAGATATTGTCATAGTAGCAGCAGTACACTGCAGGAAAAGATGATGGTGGCTCTCTAGCCATGGCTACATACATCGTTGTGAAATTTGGGGAAGCAGAATATGGGCTTCATATGCCCAGGATTTGGGGACTCGGGACTGTTTTTTAAAATGCCATTTACAGAATGAGGAAAGCATTTTCTTCTTGTTGTCTTTATCCAGCAATAAGTTCCCTGAAAATGTAAACAGTCAGAAAAATAGTACATTTTCCAATGATATAATAAGATCTGTATGGAACAATTTAGCACAACTTGGGGCCCTTCAGACCAGACATAGTTCATCAAGTATTGGAACTGGAGCCTGCTGGGTGCTTCAGACATCGCACAGTTGTACAATCAAAGAAAGCTGTGGATTCATTGAGTGCCCAGTGAGCTCCTATACAAGACGGGTGGACTGCATTTGACTTAGTGAGATGTGTTTCTCAGGTCTGGGCTGGAACATACCATAGCTAAGAGGCTGTGAGATATTAGTGATCAAGCTATGCCTTCCCCCATGTCAAAGTAGCCCATTCTTCACTGAGAAAATTGTACGTGTGGCAGGATTTTACTGAAATGGATCTCATCCAAAGGAAAGTTCCTTGAAGACTTGGACAATATTAATGTGACTATGAATGGCCATGCTCTAAATAGGCTGGTGACCATGATTTCTGAACATACAGAAGCAAGTGCATTGTTCACATCTTTTAGGGAAATAGTGGCATCAGGTTTTAAACTTTATTTTAAAAAATTTAAATAAGACATGGTGTCAAGTCTTCCAGGAACTGGGTTTTTCAGTACCACGTCAGCATAATTTAGCACAATCACTATAGTAAATAAGTAATGCTGCCTATTGATTTTTGAGCAGGCGTAACTGCCAAAATCAAATTGAATTTGGATCAGAAAATAGCTGTTTTATTAAACATTTCCACACCTTAAAAATTAACATTAACAGATGGAGAGAAGAACATCTTTTCTGTTAAAGTGTTCATCTTAGGGTTATTCAATTTTAATTGAAAGAGCACAGCAAGCACAATCAAGCAGCACATTTTTACCTTGATCTTCAAAACTAACAGTACTTGGGCACAAAATCCAAGATGAGTTATTATTGGCTTTTTTTCCTTTTTTTTTTTTTTTTTGTCTGAGCTATAGTAGGCTTGAATGAATGCTCTCCTGTAACCATTTCAAGAACTATTTTAACTCTGGGGATCAAGAACACAATGTTCTTCCAGGTTGACTTTCTGGATGGCATTCCCTGCACACTGTAGATATTTTGGAGACTTAAAGAAAATGTCCTGCAACTCTTAGCATCCCCTAGTGCCATGGCTTGGGAATGCTGGGAGTTAACAGGAGCTTTTTCTGTCTAAAGATGCATAGGATTATGCCTTTAGTTGGTTCAAAAACGAGGTTACTAAGAATAAAAGAATTATCCTGAGTATCTTGTCCATATATGCAAGGATCGTGTGGGCTAGTCGTTAGAACACATTCATGGAGAAGAAGTGCAAAATATGTGCATAAAGGCACTATTTTACACTTGGTTGCAGGTTAAGCAAAATACATCACCTTCTAGCAACCAGTCAAACTGTAGCTCACTTAACCAGAACAGGACAAAGATTATTCACCTGCAAAACCAAGTATCACAAAAGGGAGAACACTGCCCAAATCCCAGACTCCCTTGCCGCCTCCTTAACATGAATGAAAAGGCCTGCTTCATATGCACATGGAAGCAAGTGCAAGACACCAGATAGGTAAAATGAATGTTAGGTTAGTTGATTGTCATGTTGTGAAGGAAGCCAAAAGTATGTCACTCCTTAAAGTGTGTTCGTTCTCGTTCTCTCTCTCTCTCTCTCTCTCTCTCTCTCTCTCTCTCTCTCTCTCTCTCACACACACACACACACACACACACACACACACACACACACACACAGCCTCCTGGCACAAAAGGAACATTCCCACAAGGATGCTTAATGTGAATGAGAAAGAGCCACAGTCTTCATGCACCTGGCTTTTATTCTACTGGTAATCTGGGAGGGCACAATCTCTGGCTGTTTGGGGACAGAACATAACACCAAAGAGTGGCTGTTGCTGTCCCAACCGTTGGTGGCCTATTTTCCACGGAACTGCCCCCATGTCCTTAGAAGCTGAAATGCCTTTCTGAGGCCCATAAACATCATATTCCCAAGTAGTCTTCTGCATATGCGTATATGAGGGCGGCAACATCCCCTTCCTCCTCCCTATTTCACATGAGGCGCAGTTGTCCCCACAGACGAGGAGCCTGGTTTTCCATATATCTCCTTTCTCCCATCAAACTTACGAAGTCATGACAAACACAAATAGCTTCACGAACACAATATAGTGGGCTCCATCTTGGGCTTCTTCTGACAAGATGGCAGTCTCTGCATTAAGTTAGCTAGACTAAGAAGAGAAGCTGATTAATTTGCCCTCTTATGCCATTGTGCCCATTGCTGTGTGTGTAGTGTGTGGCCTATGAAGAAATGAAACGAGGTTTGCCCACACACCACCCACCAAATTGTGTGGGAACAGTGAACTTGCAGTTGTGCTCCATGCGTTCAAGTTTTTACGTGAGGGACAAGTAATCTATGTGCAAAACACCCCTGGAATACACAGAGGAGTATCATTGGATCAAGGTGTGTACATGTAACATCTACAATAAAGCTGTTGTTCCTTCAAGGTGAAGGGGAAAAAACCCCAAAGCTTTGGAGAAAGCTGAATATTGTAACTGAATATTTAATCTGCCCACATGTAAGACAGTTTTAACAAAGTTTGAAGTATTTCATGCTATAGATGAACAAATAGGCATTTAGATTTAATCTACAGCTAGAAGTAGATGGTGGTTATGTCTAATGAGAACAAAACAAGATAAGCTTCAAGGATGTTTCTCTGAAATTATAACATTACCAAATAACATGTCTTTTCTTTTGAAGCCTGGTTTCTGCAAAGGAAGCATTTTATCATGATGCAGAGCAGGAAAGGCGCCATTTAACCTATAATATTTAACTGCTCTACTCATCTCCTCTTTTTTAGATTAAAATTACAGGCCCCTAGATTGCAAGTTTTGATATTTGTTTTCTTTCCATTGCTGCCTTCGGCTCTTTCGTGAATGCCATCAGCAGCACTGTGGGTAACTGTAAAGAAGCCTGTAGGACTGAATATATTAAGATCCACAGCACTCCACAAAAATTATAAAAATCATGCACCATTTTAAAAATCCCTTCTCTGTAATTTCCATCAACATTCCCCTCCTTTTATGAACTATGTGCACTAAAGAGTCAGCTGGTATCACGCTTTGTTTCTCCAACTTCTGGTTTTCTTCCTGTTTTAAAAGAGTGTAGGCTATGGAAAATGATGTAGTGGCATTCAAAACAACGATATTGCCAGGTCATCACTTCCATCTATTATTATTTGGGTCCTATTTTCTGTACAAAATTCCTCTCCCCACCTCCCAACACCCATAACTTGCAACATAATACTTCATAAGATGTTTATTTTCTTCCATTTAGTCAAATATAGGACATAGCTCAGATATTAACCTTGGAGAGTGTTTAGATTTCATTACCGTTTGTTCTATATATTTTACTGACACGGACGGATGAAAATAAACAGCTTGTAACATATAGAATTACACAGACTACTGTGTTTCTGTGTGGATTTAGTGGAGTCTGTGATGGATTAAGGCTCTGCAACGGATTCATTTTCACTAACTCTGTTAAAATAACTATGTAATCATTATTTGTGCTTAGTTTGAGATTCATTTTCATAATTTATCAAGGGATTTGTCTGCATACATTTCGATGGTTAATGGCCCTCAATTGATTGAAGTTCCTTTAAGATATTGCACATAGAAAATAGTAAAATGGGTTGATAATGAGACAGCAGTAAAACCCAATTGTATAAAAAATAAAAACCAACAACAACCAAACAGATTTATGTGAAACAAATCTATAAAATGTCATCTTTTGCTTTAAAAGGAGTCATAGATACACATTCAATCTATTCTGCAAGGGCTTTAGCAGTGTATATTACATGCTGTTCTAAATATCTCGCATATATGGTTGTTGATGTGAACTCAGACACTGCATACACACAATCTGTAAAGATGCAAGATGAAATTTTCCATTGCCACTTTTACAGATAACAGCCCGTCGACAATGGAAACATATTTATGATGAATTAGGTGGTAACCCAGGAAGCACAAGTGCAGCCACCTGTACTCGTAGACATTATGAAAGGTAAGATAACAAATATGAAATGCTTGCTTAATAAAGGAGAAAAATTAATTTGGAGGGTCAGGGAGGGGGAGAAGTGAGAAATCCTCTACTTACCTAGGCAAAATAAATATTCCTTCAGCAGTTTAGTGCTATGCTGTGCTGTAATTTAATCATGTGTGTGTCCAATATGGAAGCAGACAAAGTAGGTATTTTGATTTCTTTCTTTATACCTTCATTGTTACTAAAATTTCTCTACTAGAGAAGCTGTAATGAATAAGCAGGAGATGTAAAGAACTGAGAAAGATATGATAATAACTGTTTTGGCTATTTAAGGTACCATCTTAGACATGTTTAGACAGAAAAAGGCCTACAATTTCCAGTGGCATGCTGGGAATTGTAGGCCCTTTTCCTGCCTAAACATGCCTAGGATTGCACCCTCATTCTCTTTTGAAAATCATTCTGTAGGTATATCCAAATGAAGCTATGTATAGCTATCTTCAAGTTAGTGGGATGCTCCCATTATAAGTCATAGGGTAAAAAGAAAAACCTTTCTTCCGTATTCCTTTAATGTTCTCTTCTTTCTTCCTGCAGCTGTCAACCATTTATCTTTCTAAAGTGCAACATACTTGCTGTTTTATAAGCATTGATTTTGTAGCCTGAGTTAATAATAGTTTCCAAAGCTTGGGTATCCACCATGCATCTGATAACATGATATGGTCACAATGCTTCCTTAAAAGAATTTTGAGAAAATATGGCCATTAATAAAATATGTGTGCTTTCAAGCCCTGAAATGAGCAATATGATCTCATGCTCCAGATCACTAACTAGTTGCCTGTAGGGGCCAAGAAAGTGTTTGTTTATCACCATCATTCAGGTTTACATGGGTTTTGGGGGTGGGGGGGTTTGGACATGCATCCCTTTTCTAAAGTGTTGGCTATCAGGCAGACTGATAGAAGCAAGGTGCCATATTGTACATGGGACAATTGTTAAATTCTAAAGTGGTAAGCAGATTTGTAAGCTGGATGGATGGATGGATGGATATGCCATGTTTCTCTCATGTTCTAACATGATTAAAAATAGGACCTGAGATGGAGCTATACAAATGAAGGTAAGAATAGTTTTTGGTGGCTCCCTTTCAAGATGACAAGTCAGTGAAAACAGGTTCTTGGATCCTAGTCGATGGGAGAGGTTAACAGAATTTAATATATTGTTTTATATCATTTAATATATTGTTTTATATCATTTAATATATTCAATATATCATTTAATATATTGTTTTCAGTGGGAGTTTGTTTTCACTGCTTTGGGTTCATCTCCCCGCAAAAATGGGGGTCTGGAGAAAAGAAAATATTCGGCAACCTGCCTGTATAGGAGAGACAGTGTTGGTGTCGGAACAGAGGATGGGCACAGAGAGGTGCTCTGTAGTGAAAGCTCTCTTCAGGGTCAAAATACATGCTAGGCACAGCTGGGAAGTGCCTGGTCTTACTCCAGTTGGGCTCACCAGGCCACCGCATCCACCCAAGGGTATTCAAGTTAGGAGCCTCCTTCCTGGAACTTCACTCTAGGATCCCCAGTGTTATCCCCAGTCACTGACCAAACATAACAACAAGGATTCCACTAGCTTAGTGCTTTGGTGCTTGACTGGGGGCTTCTCTTTGGTGTGCTTGAGGTTTCCTGGCCAGGGAAGCCATCATTCACCCATGTCATCCAGCCCACAAAGGACCAGGTATGTCTGGGGATGGGGGGAATCCAGTTCCTCTACCCCAGCCTAATTCCGCATTCCTCTACGAAGGTTAGCACATAGTTAAACACCATGCTTCACTGCTCACTCGCCCAAAAAAGCAGCCATGAAGGGAGTGTCATCAGGGCCTTATAGCAGCCCTTCTTACCATCAGAGGCTTCATCCTGACATGCTGTGGTCTTGATGCAGGCTGGAGTGCAGTATGGCTGCTTTTTCTGGGGCAAATGGTCAGGCAAACATGCGGGTTTTTGGAAGCACATTTTACGTGTTGTTTGATCTTCTCTGTTGATCCACTGGTGGATGGAGAAGGAAGAGAGAGAAAGTGTGCTTTGATCCATTAATGATCAGGCACTTAATGGGGCACAAGTTTTCCCTCATTGTGCTGAAAGTGCTGCTGTAGGACTGAGGATGTTTGGCAGCCCCTTGGAATATCCCTCGCCTACTTTGGAGAGTCAGTCTAGGCTGGTAGAAGCTTCTGCTATTTTGACTCACTTCGGAGTTCCTTGAGAACTGGCTTTGGGGTAAGGAAGTGGGTTCTTCTGCAGTGAACTAGGTTAGGGTTGCTCATGGGGTTATTCTGGTCCACATTTCAACAAGATCTGAGCCTTGCCTGCCAGACCAACGTGTTCCTCTGAATGCAGGAATTCTTCAGGGTTCTTGCTTTTAGAATTGTGTGATATGCTTCAGAAAAAAGCTACAAGAAGAGTAAAATATGTTTACACTTAGTACAATTTTCTGAGGGAAAAGTGATTCAGAAATCTGTATTTTGTGAGTATATATTGAAATGGAAATTTTTGTGCAGATTTTTTTAAAAGCTGCAAATTAGTGCAGAAGCAAGACAGAAGGAACTTACATATGAACACACATGACACTGACCTGGGCCAGGAAAAGAATGATAGGTCACTCCTATTCCAGCTTTTCTGAATTAGGTTCCATCAGCTTTTTGATTGGGGTGTCACTTTACAACTGATGTTTGTCCAGCTTTTGGATGTCTTTGTGTTTCAGCTTACTCTTAGGGACAGTTAATTATTCAACCAAATTTTCCTAAAATGGTAGCAAAACAAGCTGTAGCGTATGCTACATTTTCTGCAATGGAAGACTCGCTTCCTAGGCTGGTCTTTATTTAAAATTTAAACATCAGTCTGGAAAGAATTGGCATATCTTTCCAGTGACTCTGATATGCCCCACACTTCAAGGGTGTTTTCAGGAAAACTTGCCTAGCTGTGCTGGTTAAAACTTTTCAAATGCTCTCTATACGCTTTAGGAAAGAAAGGCGATGATCATATTTAATCAGTTTGGAGAGCTCCCTAACTTATTTTCAACCTTAATTTAAACTTTAATTTGGATAAGCAAAATAGGTAGATGCCCCACCCAAAACTCACTGATATGTAAAAACAGCATCTGCAGTGGATTTACAATCCGCATAATTTTTTGAGATTTTGAAACATCTATTGCTAATTCTTTGGCCTACAAAGGAATAATGCTATCTCAAAAATGCTGCACTGTGCCTCAAGCTTCGGATTAATGCCATCTTTTAACAAATGGAACTTGAGTATCAGGGCTTGGAAGCACCTGCCTGAGATGCTGCAAAACTGCTGCTAGAAATAAACTGCTCTGTTGGGCTAGACCAGCCGTTCCCAACCTGGTGCTCCCCAGAAGCAGGGGACAACACCGATCATCACCCAACAAGCATGGCCATTGGAGGGCACCAGGTGGAGAAAACTGACCTCGATGGCCATCCCCTTCTCTCCTCTTTTACATGATTCTAAAGCCTTCAAATTACACATTTCAAAAATGTTTTATTGCTTAGGCTGTATTATATTCCCCCTCCAAAAATGAAAGACTGAACATGTTTTGAATGCATTATTGACATTGTCATTTTTAATTGCATATGGATCACTTCCAGTAAACATTTTCATTTTTAAAACAAGGCTATGTTGCTGGTGGGTTCACTAAGTGTTATTTTGGATATGCCTTCTAGGCTTTCTTTTGCCTTATTAATGAGTGCAATAATGTAAGCGCAGGTTGCTCTGAGTCAAATCAATGGATGTTTTTATTTAAAGCGTAGCAGGAATCGTATAATGCCCATGAATGCATTATTGTCGCTGTAGGCTGACTGGTCTGAACCTGCCTCTCTGATTGGTTTAAATCAAATCAGACCAAGCACTTCATAAAAATGTCTTTGTCAGCCCCATTTTGCTTCCAAACCTATTCATCACTGTCAGTTTTTAATATTAGTACCAGGCTCTTGGCCATAGTCCATTAGTACTGTACTTAATTGCTTGTGTTACAGATGATTACCAGTATAAAAAGCATCAATGTTTTCCCATTGTAGAGCTGTTGCTATGTACATGACTCAACACAGACAAAGCGTACAAGTTGTTATTTTGGTCACGAGGCTTTAATTCTTCTCTGTAGTTAGTTACCTTGGGTGATAGCATCAAGTAGAAACAGCATGAGCTCGCTTTACAGAGATTAAGTAGTTCTAATGGATCCATTCCTATTCCAGCCACACACATTTCCATTTCTGACATTCTTAGCATCTTGCTGCCTGGATCGTGCCTCTCAGATCTTGCCTTCTCTTGCATCGTCGGGGTTTAGGCAGTATGGGAAACAGTCATTCTTCTCCTAGAACTGTCTTCTCAGCATGTAGGGATGATTGTGAGCCGCCCCAAGGCTTCGGCGAATGGGGCGGCATAGAAGTTCCCTAAATAAATACATACATACATACATACATACATACATACATACATACAATGATTTCAAATCAGAGGTAGCTTTCACACAAGGTCTTATGTTCACCTTTGCATGCACACAGAGCACAGTGGCCAGTGTTAAATATGGTAGGTAGGTAGGTAGGTAGGTAGGTACCCCCCCCCCACAGTAAACATGCATAATTCTGCAAATGAGCAGGATGTTGTGATTTTTGTCAAGGATATAAAAGCAAAACAAATTACAAAGAAATATTTCATGATGTATTACGATAGCTCCAATTTTCTAAACAAAATGCAATCAGAAAGGAAACAGGTCATGTATCCTTTCAGGTCATGTGTGCTTCTATAATTTGGCTTTCCAGGAGGGCTTTTTCTCTTTCTCTGATTGTTCACAGGCCTGCAGAGAAGTAAAGCCTTAGGAGTTGTAATGCTGCCTGGTACATAACATCTTATAAGGTTTACCAGTAGGGATACCAAAGCACAACAGCAAATGAGGAATGTCATTTCAAAATGTCCGCACACACTTGCATTGGTTGTATCCATGCATGCAGTGTCCATTCTTCCCA